CCAAGTATTCAGCTTAGACTAAGTGTCCACTAACACGAACAGCTTCTAAGAGTAATTATTGGAATTAAAAAACAAAACACAACAACATCAGCCGGACGGTGGTGGCGCACGCCTGTAATCCCAGCACTCGGGAGGCAGAGGCAGGTGGATCTCTGTGAGTTCGAGGCCAGCCTGGTCTACAGAGCGAGATCCAGGACAGGCTCCAAAGCTACACAGGGAAACCCTGTCTCAAAAAAACAAAAACAAACAAACAAAAAAAAGCATGGCGCCGACTGCCAGAATATTCACCCGTGAATTGAAAGCCCCAAGTTACCCACCACTCTCCTTAATTGTTGAATATACTATCACCCTAGAATTCTGAAAGCAGGCCGGGCGTGGTGCATGCCAAGCAGGTCTCTGTGAGTTCAAGGCCAGCCTGGTCTACAGAGCGAGATCCAGGACAGGTACCAAAACAACACAGAGAAACCCTGTCTCGGGAAAAAAAAAAAAAAGAATTCTGAAAGCAGGAGAGAGGAGAGGAGAAGAAGAGAAAGAGGAGGGGAAAGGGGAAAAAAAGAAAAGGGCACAAGAAGATGCATGTGCAGTCAGGAGAGCTGTACTTTAAACAGACCTGTAGCCGCTTAGACAACAACTCCAAGAGTCTCCTCTGTAAAGTCAGGGGTTGTGCTGTCCTTGCCTCTTGGCTGGAAGACATTCTTAAGCTGCTCTGAAGGCTCCTCAATGGCTGCTCTTTCCTTCGGCTGTCGTGGCAGGTTTCAACGCTTTGAAAGGTTTCTTCTCCACCCCACCCTCCCATGCACGTCCAGCTTGAGGTCCTCTCCCCTCCTCACCTCGGCTTCTCTTGCCGCCCAGGAAGACACTCACCTCCTACCTCACAGTGTGGAAGGCCTGTTGCTGGGGGGGATACAGAGGAAAGCTAGCGCCGACCCTGCCTACAAGAACTCACGTGACTTCAGTCTCGGCACCACCGGCTATTGAGGACAGCCAGCGCTTCAAAAATGGAGGGCTGTCCCGTTGCGCATGCTCAGCAGCATCCCTGGCCTCAACCCACCAGACAGGGTAGCTCTCTTTACATTCCAAGTTATGACAATCAGAATTGTGCAGATATTGTCAAATGTCCCCTTGGGAGAGAGCAAAATCATCCCCAGTTGAAAATAACATGGAGGAGAAGCTTCCTATAGATCAGTGGTTCACAGGGATCAACTCAAAGAGCCATATTAAAAAAAAAAAAAAAAATCCGGGGAGAAGACATTGTAAAGCTTCTGAACAACTAGAATTTAATGGGACCAAATCTGGAAAACTGGAAACCTCAGCAATATGAGCCAACTGTTCACAGCTCTGTTTGTTTGTCTGAGGCAGGGTCTCATGGAGCCCAGACTGGCTTCAGACTCGCTATAGCTGAAGATGACCTTGCCTGAGTCTTCTGCCTCTACCTCCCAAGCCACAGCTACTTTTTCCTTAGGACATCTACCCACTCTGGACATGGGCTACGGGGCTTGGGATCCAAACAAAAGGCCGAGGCAGGAGAGTTGGGAAAGTCAGGAAACTTTGGGAGAGTTCAGGGAAAAGGGAAAGGAAAATCAAGAAGCAGGAATGAGTGAGGGATGGAGAACAGTGATCCTGGTACCCTCAGCCAGCTTCCCCTCAAGAGCGCTGTCCATTGGAAACTGTCTGAGACAGAAGGCTGAGATAATAAGCATTGGGTGGGTGAGCAGTGTTTGGGGCCATCTCATGTCCTAAAAGAGACCAAACTGATACTCAGAAACAATTCACAGAGGGAAGCTGAGGTCAGGAGAATCAAATGAGGATTGAGTTAGAACAGAATAAGTTTTTCTACCAAGAATAAAGAGGGCATGAAACAATACTAGAACACTGTGCAAGTGCATGCCAATACATTTTGAAATTTCCAATGAAATGGCCAAATTGGGAGAAAAATATAAACTGTCAAAGCTAAAAGAATAAATTGAAAGGAGAAAATTGAATGTCTTAGGGTTTCTGTTGCTGTGAAGAAACACCATGACCACAGAACTCTTATACGGGAAAATATTTAATTGAGGTGGCAGCTTATAGTTTCAGAGGTTCAGTCCATTAGCATCCTGGCAGGGAGCATGGAGACGTGCAGGCAGATGTGGTGCTGGCTACATCTTGATATTCAGGCAACAATAAGTTCTGAGACACTGGGCAGTATCTTGAGCATATATGAGACCTCAAAGCCTGCCTCCACAGTGACACACTTCCTCCAAAAAGACCACACCTATTCCAACATGGCCACACCTCCTACTCCTTTTGGGGACCATTTTCTTTCAAACCAGCACACTGAACAATCTTCTAGAACTTGACAAGGTTCTCTAGTTAAAAATCTTTTCACCTACAAAGCGAGTTAGAGGACAGCCAGGACTTTACACAGAGAAATCCTGTCTCGAAAAACTAAAAAAACAACTTTTCACAAAGAATCTTCTAGAGTTGGAAGATCTTCAGAGTGGACTCCTCTAAACATCAAAGGAGAAACAGCATCAGAGAGGAGGGGAGGGAAGGAGAAGGGAGGGGAGGAGAGGGGAGGGGAAGGTAAGAAGGGAAGGGGAGGGGAAGAGAGGGGGAGGGGGAGAGAGAGACCGCTACAAGAGACTGACTCAGTTGTCTCTACAGTGGCAATAGATAACATGACCCATGGCTTCTGAGGTTACACTTTACAATTTACAACATTATTTAAATATCAAACCAACTTCAGACTTAAGTAAAACTCTAAGAGCCGATGGACTTGTTTCTCTAAAGAACCTCCTTTTGTAACTGGAATCTCAAGGCTTTTATGAACTGTATTGTTCAGGTCTGAGGAGACAGACAAGAGTGCTAATACAGTTAAACTCAAGGCCACAGACACCCTGGCTCTCAGGACAGTCTGTTGATTTTAACATCCCTGTGGAGATGACCTTAGCAAGTAGTTCTCAACCTTTCTCATGCTGGGACCCTTTAATACAGTTCCTCATGTCCTAGTGACCCCCCAATCATAAAATTATTTTCATTGCTACTCCACAACTGTAATTTTGCTACTGATATTAATCTTAATGTAAATATCTAATATGCAGGGTATCTGATATGTGACTCTGTGAAAGGGTGGTTTAATCCCCAAAGGGGTCATGGCCTACAGGTTGAGAACCATTGCTTTAGAGTTGGAGAAATTCTGTCGAAGTTTCTAGACTTCAGTGACCAGGAAAGCCAAGCAGGTGCCAGGTTGAAGAATTTCATTT